ATAAAAAATACTACTTAAACAAGCAATAATGGATAAGAGATAGTAGTTGGATATAGATGTCATTGGTACTATTCTTTTACGTATTTAATTGTATAAAGAAATTGTATATGATATGAAATAAATAAAAATTTATTCTTGAAAAATTAATACATCCTAGCACATTTAAATTAGGGCTGCTGAAATTAACGATTAATCCTTCGATTAACCGTTAATTTTTTTGATCAATCAAAATTCTTTTGATCGGTACTCACATTTCCGCCGTCTTCCGGGTCTTCTGTCAGAGATCCGGTGACGTCACGGACATCGAGGTCACTGGACTCCTCCCCCCTTCCCCAAGTGGCTCTGTCGGCTAACGAAGGGAAGGAGTCTGGTGATGTCTATGTCCGTGATGTCACCGGACTCCTCCCCCTTCCCTTCATTAGCCGACGGAAGCCACTTCTAGATGTCTTCTACCGGAAGGGAGGGTCCCTGACAGTGCCATCACTTCTATGATCAAGGTATGGCTCCTCAGAGAAGGAAAAGGGACGGAATATATCTTATTTTTGTTGCACTTTAGGATAAGGGTTATAAGGTATGGTTTAGGGTAATGTACATGTTTTTTTCTTTTAATGTTCTGTTATTGTTATTATAAGTGTACATTGCTGTGGCCATTCACTTCCAATATGATATAAACTGGTTCAGTTTGATTGCATGTGAAGTGTCGATATTGTAGGTGGGGAATAAAGGGTACTTTGGGCTTGGACTCAGTCAAGTGAAGCTCTAGTTTTGAGGAAAAGAAAAAGTGAAATTTGTTTTTTAAGAAATTCTAGCTGCATGTTGAAATGTAAAGATAAATTGTAATAATTAGGGCTGCGGAAATTAACGATTAATTCCGCGATTAATCGTTAAAATTTTTGTTCGATTAAAATGCTTTTGATCGCTAATGAAAATACTCACCTCTCCGCCGGCTTCTGGGAGTCCCGTCGGAGATCCGGTGACATCACGGACATCGACGTCACCTGACTCCTCCCCCAAGTTGCTCCGTCGGCTAACGAAGGGAAGGGGGGAGGAGTCCGGTGATGTCGATGTCCGTGACGGCTAACGAAGGGAACGTGCTGGATTAGTGTGATCCTAGTTCATTTTATTACTTCATTGCTGTGCTGTATGTGTATAGGCCAATGTAGTTGGATCTATATGTGCGTTATAATTAATCGAAATTAATCGATTAAAAAAATTTCAATTAATCGAACACGAAAATGTCATCATTACCAGCCCTAATTTAAATATATAAAGTTTGGGAATTGACCCTTATGGCAATGTTCCACTGGCGTATATTAATACTAATAATTTTTAATATGGAATAATTTGGATAAGTAATGGGAGAACATCATAATTGGGGGACCAGTATAGTCATATAAGTAAGCAATGTTAAAATTTAGAGACTGATTTAATGTGTATGTGCAGCTTATTATTATGTTCTCATCACCAATATTTCTTTAATATGATAATGAACTTCAATGTCCATTATGTCCTTTTGTTGTGCTCTAAACCACATAGCAGTTCCCAGCCCATGTTTATGTGCAGGGCCAGTGCAATAGCCGCTTGTTTTTGTTTTTTAATGATCAGATAGGCCGGCAGTGCCATCCTCGGCTGGCGTCTGTGGTTGCATAGGGTACCATGTGTGGCACGCGTGCGCTGGTGTTCAGAAGCACAGCCGTCAATCCACAAGGTTAGTAAACAGCCGTGAGATCCCTGTGCCAGTAGGCGGGTCGAACGGCTTTACCCAGAGCAATCTAATGCCGCTCCGTGAGGTGGTGTCCTGTTACCACGGCAACCAGCGGCCCTTCTCCCTAACGGTCATGACGGTTAGAGCTCTCTGTAGCACACCCGCACACGGAGCCCGATCCGCTCGTCTGACTTTTGGCCTTTCCTTTTGAATTGCGAGTGTCCTCTGTAATGCAATATGTGATGTTTATGACCTGTGGCTGGACCTGAGACTATGTGGATTAGCTTAACATTGCTTAGCATGCATTTTGAATGTCAAATGGCGGGATTCTGACGTCACAATGACATCCAAGGGTATGGGAGTGTCTTGTGATTCACGTATTGATTGGTAGGTCTATTTAAATGACTATTTGTTATCTCTCTACTGTCATCTCTGAGCCTGATGAAGGGGGACCCTGTGTGGCCCCGAAAGCGCTTGCCAATGAGAGACAGCTATTGTCAATAAATGAACACTTAATTGCTTACTATCATTGTGTGGTGTGCTTGTAAAATCCTTTGAACTACCAAAGCTCAGTATAACGCGGGCTATTGCCTGCGATGGACAGAGCGCCGCAGCAGTACATTTATGGTTTTAAGAAGGGGGGGGGGGGGGGGCCAGGGGGGGCAAAGG